ATGTGCGTGAACGACTGTAACCGCCAGGACATCTGCAAGTACGTACCTGCAGGCGAGACAGTTGCTTGCGGCGATGAGTGCACTCCTCATGCTATCTGCACCACTACCTAGGTGCCAATGCCGTTCAAGATATCTATCTCGGGTATCACGGCAGTGGGTGAACATCAGTGAGGCATGCAAGGCAACGGGTAGCATGGAGGCTGGGGTGAGAATATGTCTCGGCTGAATGCCTGTCATCATTGCGAATATGGGAAACTGAACATGGACGGGACTTGGTCGCTGATACATCATCGGTAACCTAACCTAAAGATGAATGTCAACTACACACTATGCATACTGAAATCCTGAACGTGAATGTAAATGTACCTGGGCAAAAGTGACGCGTCTAGAACATCCTCTCCTCGCCCGACACTACCATTCTGATATCCCTCTACTGTGAGGACCTTAGCAGCGTGAAAAGTGCAATGAATCCCCAGCTTCCCTCTCTTAATCCAACCTCCCACCTATCTGCGGTCGGCGTTGCTGGCCCTCTATTCATAAGCGCCCACAGCTACGTCACCGACAGTCGAAAGTGAGACCGTTGTTAACGCGGTCAGCTGACGAGACCCACATGCAACTCGAGTTCCAGACGACCTCGGGAGATTACGATTTGAAGGCCTTGAAGGTAACAAACACCATGAGGAACGGCTGGATCCGAGTTATAGAGAGCCCACGAGCTCGGGTGGGCTCCAATGACCCGAGTGAATGACTGAACCTTGGAAGGTGCAAACAAATTCGCCAGTGCGACTCTACTGCGTCTATTCCAGCCCGTTCTGGCCTCAATGTTTGAGTATGCAGGCTAGCCTTTCTCCACGAAGTGACTGCCGCTGATAATACCTTGGGTGTGTCTTCGCAGATTCGCCAGTGTTGGTATGCCTTCTCGTGTAACAGCAAGATCGCCACCGATTCTCATGTTGCTTTTAATGTTGTATTTAACCTTTTAGTAGGAATCTGCACGGTACGTTTATGAGTTGTTATGTTCATCTATATATTACGTCATTCTTGCATGTAGCCGTCCTCACGTGTAATTTCTTTTCCCTTACATGTAGCAATGCTTACATCTACTCATACATTCCTGTGGCCATCCTTACATGTTATTGTTGGAATATGCGCACATGCTTAATACATCCATTAACGCCCCTGACATAAACGTGCTTCAACCGCGTGAAATGCCTCGCCCATGCACCCATTCCACACCCTTACACCCCCCACTATTCTGTATCAACCCCTACATTCTTTCATTACCATGTTGGAATATCGCTACCTAGAACACCACCCAAGGTGCATATAAACCCACGATGCGCTGCTCTAATAACTCCATCCACCATCGACACAATCTTCTAAACCACACACCAAACCAAACCACACCCACCCACCAAACATGAAGTACACCACCCCCCTCCTCCTCTTCATCGCGGCCCTCACCACCGCCAACCCCGTCACCTCCCCCTCCGCCAACGCCATCACCTCGGCCAACCCGCTCGTCGCCCGCGACCCCATCTGCGACAAGTGCAACAAGGAGTTCGAGGACTGCCAGAAGGTACATTCCCCTTTCCCGATCTCTTCTAGTGTGATTTGAGCTAACGTGTTGGGTGGAATTAGACTTGGGTCTGTTGGATCAATCCGAGGATGTGTATCATCACTTGCCACAACGACGTTTGTCGTAATGACGCTGCGTGCAGGGAGCACTGTGGGTGGAAGTGCCCTTAGGCTGGGGTTTGTGAGTGAGAGGGCATTGGAGATTAGAGAGAGGGTGGGATTGAGGGAGGAATGAGACTAAGACTGGTTAGCAAGGATGGAATGGAAGTTTGAGGTAGCGGGTTGTCGTGGAGAGCGATGCTTATATGTGGTTGTTGGGATATGTACTCATCCTTACATATACCGTTACGTGCAACACCAACTAGATGAACACAGAATGTGTGCTCATCCTTACCACACTTATCAACGCTCCTGGCATGAAATCGCGTGAAAAGACTCACCACCCGTGCAACAATCTTACACCCTCACCCCACTGATCATATCAAGCCTCTCATTCTTTCACTACCAACATTCCTACATCGCCACACAGATCAGTACCCCAGGTGATCCATGAAGGTGATTAAACCCTTCCGGCTGCCTAACCCGACTCCTTCAGCCCAGGGTGTACATAAACCCCACGATCCGCAGCTCCAAGAAAGCCCCCTTCTCCCCATCCACCCTCAACTCAATCTCCTCAACCCCACACCACCCTCCACCCACCTCACCAACAATGCACTTCACAACCCCCCTCATCCTCGCCCTCGCGGCCCTCACCACAGCCACCCCAATCACCAACCCCGACGCCAGCCCCGTCGCCGCCCCCATCGCCTTCCCCCAAGAGACCCTCCCGCCCGTCCAAGTCCCCACTTGCGACCAGTGCAAAGACCAATTCGAGCACTGCCTGAGGGTAAGTCGATTCGGCTTCCCCACAATCCCCTCCTTCTCGTAGTGTGAACTAACACGAGTGATAATAATAATAGTCTTGGCCCTGCTGGTTCAACCCAGCTACCTGCGATACTAGTTGCCGTGCTGAGACTTGCAAGGCGAGCTTCTACTTCTGCCGGGATAAGTGTGGGTGGAAGTGTCCTTGAGGCTGGGTTTTGGGTATGCGAGGACGCTGGGAAGAGGGTGCTCTTGAGGTCGAATTGGGACCGTGGTTGTGAGGCAAAGGTTCAGTCGTAGATGATCGTCCGTGATGGGCGATGTATGGCGATGGAGTGACCTTTGTGATATGGGTATGGTTTAGATATTGGTCTTGATGAAAGGATAGCTGCTAGATCTGTATCGAGGAATAAAACCAAGTCTTGTCAGTGAAACGAAATCATCGAGTGATAGTCTGTGCCAAACCCGATAACGAAATCCTATCATATACACCGCCCGGCTCATACCTCTTGCACTGCCAAAATCACTCATGAATATCGAGCTCAAACCCAGAAAGCGTCAAAGCAAAAGTGGTCTCAGTCGTCGCATGTAACCCAACGCAGATCACCCCAGCCAAGCCCAGGCCTCAAGACCGAATACGAAGATTGACCTGCAGCGCCAAGAAAGCTAGGCTTCTCGCGGCCCGCAGATGATCACCAGCTAAACCGCATACCCCCATGGGTGTTGTCTCCGTCCGCCTTGGATTTTCTTGAAAGCTGTACGCGTTGTCTTGGCTGCTATATGAATTGGCGGGTTGCGCTCCTCGTGGGCGGGTGATGTAGTGTCCAAGACTTGTCTAGTTGTATAAGTAGAGTTTTGGTGCATTGGACCCGCTGGTGATGTCAATTGGGAGGGTGGGAGGAGTGGTATTTAGGGGGGTTGTTTTCCGAGTTGACGTGTTCATAGTTGTTCACTTTGTTCGGTTGGAACCATCATGAAGCTCACTCTCGCAACTCTTTCCACGCTCCTAGCGACTGCTACGACGGCATCGCCTCATGCTCTCGAACCGCGTCAACAATGTAGTTCATCCTGGAGCTACCCGTATACCGGCAGCGTAGCTCCCAGCAACTACAAGGCGTTTAACCTCGGAAGCTGCACCGCGCAACTCACCTTCAACAAAGACCGATACGTAGGAGTGCAATGGGCATTCGAAGCCACATACGCCGATGGAAGCCGCACTGAACTCAAGCCCTTCCGCGACTTTGGCAGCTTCGGCGTTAGCGACACCTTCTACCCCTACCTTGGCAACAACTTCCTCACCAAGTACCCTGGAAACTCGGCGTTCACAGCTGTGCACGAGTTCAGCAGTGTTTGCAAGAACGGACAGGCACCTGTCTCATGGCGGTTCTACACCACCTCTGGCACGTCGAATGGGTGCTACACAACGGGACAGATACGCGCTGTCGGTGGTGTTTCGCGTCCGGCCAAGGTTGCAGGCGTATCTCTGCGCAGGAGCAATGATGCCGGAGACTTCCAGGTCAGCTGGTCGCCGGTATCCAGCGCGACTGCGTATTCCGTCATTGTGGAGTACCCGACTGGTACGGATGAAGTTGGCAATCCCTACACGAACGTGAGGGGTGCACGCGTACAGGTGAGCTCGTCAATCGTCTTCGAAGGGCGATGCTAATAGTCATGCCAGGGAACCTCGACTCAGATTGCGACTACCACGCGTAGACAGGATGTAGCGAGGAAGGCGATTGTTCATGCTGTCAACGCCCAGGGCGTGTGGTCGTTCACGAGCGATGTGCAGCCAGTAGTAGCAAACTGGTAGACGCTGTTGTGAGATGTAATGTCAGATTTGAGACAGATGTGAATAGCAGCCACAAAGAGTCAGTGAGTCTTGCGTCGCAAATGTACCTAGGTATCTCGTCTCGTCCAGGAATCGCGTGCGGAAAACATTGCCCGATCTGTCGACCAGATCCCTGCTTCAGCCACGAACAGCCATAAGGCTGTTATCGCGTTTGATATGATTCGTGAAATAAAGACGATAGAATGTTACAGTACATCAGCAAGACAACAAAGTGCGGTGAATCCGATCAAAGTGTGTTGACACGTGAAACGGCGGCCGACGGCACTGCCACATGGCAAGCGCGCCCGCCCCGGAAGAGCCGAGGCCAAAGCGCCAGGGTCGCGCGACAACGAATGCCATCTCCACACGGCTCCGCATTGTCATCGCATCATGCACGCCGTCCGCCATCCATTGCGCCGTTCTACTTTACCTTGTCTTTTGCTCCTGCCTGGCTGAATACCTTGTGCCTGCTATTGAGGCACTCTCGCGCACCGCCACACCAATCAATGCGCCGCTCCCCGTTTATGGGGGCGCGATATCCACGCTCGTAATGTCGGACTCGGTTGGTAGGTTTATCTGGGGTGAGATGGGATGGAAGGAACTTTTGCTGATGATGGGGGATATAGATCGTGTCTTTAGCCATGCGCTCAACACTGTCAACAAGATACGGACGGGGTCGCAGAAACCGCCGTCTGCGACCAGGTTACGCTTGTATGGACTGTATAAGCAGGCCATGGGTACGTTGCCTCGAGGGAAATGATGCGGAAGGGGACTGTGCTACGACCAGAGCTGACTAGAACAGAGGGCGATGTCGACGGTATAATGGAATGTCCAAGAGGGAACGATGACCAGTCGCAACGGGCACGGGAGAAATGGTATGTCACTTGGCGCATAGCACCATTCCAAGTCCCCATCATGGAATACATGCACGACAGAACCTAACATCCCCAGGGACGCTTGGAAACAGCAGAACGGCCTCTCCCGCACCGAAGCCAAACGCCGCTACATCACCACCCTCATCGACACCATGCACAAGTACGCCTCGCCCTCACCCGATTCCCGCGAACTAGTCGCCGAACTAGAATTCGTCTGGGACCAAGTCAAATCCAACGTGCCCTCCTCATCCTCCTCCTCGCCGCTACGCACCTCCGACCACATAACCCCCGGCTACTCCCAGCACGAACTAGGCCAAAGCGGCCGCGCAGCCATGAACAACAGCAGTAACGACATGGAGGACCGCCCTCGAAACGAGCCCGACCGCCGCGCCGTGCCCCTCCGCGTAAAATCACCAATGTCGCAATCCGAAGAAGAGCTCGAGGAAGAAGAAGCAGAAATCGAGCGTGAAGGCGAGGTCTTCGTCGACGCCCCAGACTCGCAATACAATCCCACATCCTACCCCGACGACGACGACGACGCCGCCCCTGACCTCGAAGACGCAGGCGTACAAACCGATTTACAACAGTTGATCCGCGCAGAACCCATACCTATACAAACGCCCACGCCCGCGCCACGGAATCGCGGCATGGGCGTCCTGGGCAAACCGATTCAGATGCCCATACCCGGTTTCGGCAGCACACCCGCCGCCGCTGCTGGAAACGGTGCCGCAGCAGCAGCGAAAGACAGCTCGCCCAAAGAATCAGTCGCAGACCAGAAATGGCGGAAGCGCGTTGAGCAATCGCTCATGAAGATGACGGCAGAAGTCGCGGCACTACGCGAACAATTAGAAGCAAGAAGGCTCTTTGCACATTCAGTACACTACCAGCTGCTTAGGGGCGTGTGGAGATGGGTGTGGGCGTGCTTCAAGCATGTGGCTGTTGATGTGTTTATATTGGGTATAGTGCTGTTGTGGATGCGGCGGAAGAAGGATAAGAGGCTGGAAGGGGCGATACGGGTGCTGCTGGGGGATGCGGTGGCGCAGATGCGGAGGGGTGGGGGGATGGTGTTTGGAAGGGTTAGGATACCGCTTTTAAGGGGAGGGAAGAAAGGGGGGACAGCAGCAACGGCATAATGAATTTAAGAGTTTTGATATCAGGTGTTGTGATGGCTGTGGATTCGTTGCGTGTGATCCATGGAATTTACTGCTGACGGCTCAGATACCAGGCAGACACTTTGGAACCTTGCGAACCGAGACTCGCTCTACTGCGTTCAATCCATCTCCCCCATCTTCACCTTCTCGATTCCACTTTCCCAGTTCCCGATCATCTCAGGGAAACACTGCTTCAGTAGCACGTCTCCATATCCCTCGAACGCCGCCTCAACCCCCTTCAAAACCTCCACAACACTCCCCTCCCCCTTCATCACACCAACAGATCTTAGTTCCGCGCCATCGACCTGTGGCACGCGCGGCACAGCAACGATAGCAATGTTACTGATCGTACCAACGAACATGATGAGCAGCATAGCAATCGCTGCATTATCTGAGAGCTGGGTGTACAGGAGTGCTTGGCTCAAGAAAGCGCCGGCGATGAGGATGATGGGTGATACACAGGGGTTTGAGGCGTTGGTGGATGTGTCGTGATGTGCGGTCATGCCTTCGGCGTTGGTGGATGCCGTTGGGGAGGGCTGGATGATGTAGATGTGGCTGGGTGGGGAGTCGGTGTCGCGCATCAATGCGTATGTGCCGTCCCGACTATTCCGGGTAGAGGAAGCGGTCTTCTGAGCAGTCCAGACGGGTAGGCTGGCTGTAGCTTCGATAAGCAAGATTGATATGCTGAGCAGCAGGAGTGGTGAGAGGTCTCCGTAGTAGAACCAGAATGCGCCGGCGAGACAGAATTGGAGGATTACGGTCATCAAGCTGCCACTCTGGAGTAGGTTTCTGAAGGAAGTGGAAGCGGAGGATATACCAGTGGGTTGGAGGATTTCGACAACGATATCGCTGCTTGGATCCATGTAGCTCTCAACGGATGTGGAGGTAGAGCGGTACTCCAGGTCGCGAAGCAGCCTTGCAACAGCAAACTCCTTGTTCGACCGTCTCTTCCCCGTGCTCATGTCCAGAACCTTCACATCGCACTCCGGTTTCGGCATCACATCACCACTGATAGACGTGACTGACGACAAGAGTGACAAGCTATAAGCCAACCACCCGAAACCGAAACATGGAGACTCTGTCTTCGAAATTGCAGTCGTGACAGCAAACGCTTTCTGAATGAGTTCAGGGCCGAGTAGCGTGAGCACGATGGCCAGAGGTGGTATACGTCCGGAGTCGCCGTCGCGGTGCTCGGATCCAGGGCCAGTGGGACTGAGGTAATAGGTTCCGACGTAGAGACCGATATACGCAATAAGGATAGGGAACCTCATCTTGATGTTGGAGGTGCGGGGGTTGGTACTGGGGAGAGCTCTGGTGGATGAGTAAGTGGCGGTGCACTTTTCGAGATCGATATTCGACATGATGTTCTTCGCGGCTTTGGGACTCTGCGAATGGTTTTTGTGCCGAGTGTAATCCTGGGACCCTTGGTGAGGAAAGACCGATGGTTGGTGCGGAAAGTTGGGTTGTGCGCTCGCTCGGGGATTATCTGTTTCGGAGAGCGAGGGTGAATTTGTGAGAGTGAAGGCGCTCACCCAATGTCACCCGCGACGCTGTGAATATCTCTCCAGAACTCTTCAATCTGTCGCTAGAGGTCTTTAAGTGAGAAGGGGTTTCGCGTCTTGTTGTGAGATCAACATGATGACCAGGAAATCGCGCGATCCAATCGGGCCAGGTACGAGGCAGGAGCAAACGACAGAGAACGCACGTGCGTTAGTGACTGCCGGGCGCGATTGGACGAGGCTCACTGGGACGCAGCGGATAATTGCAGCAAATGTTTCTGAACGATTTCAGTGTCGCACTGTCACATGTCGGTGCAAGTGTGATTGCGTTCTAGCGGTGCGGCCCTATGGACATGCTTCAGTCGCGCGAGTTTAGTGGTCGCTCGCACCAATGGCAGACCCGTGAATATGTCCATCGACACCAGTTGGAAGTCTTCGTAGGTCAGCGTGTCTGATATCTCTGTGGTGAGCCTCGAAATCTAAAGGCCCCTACTGTGTGACCACCCAAATTTCGCGATCCCACCACCCCAACACGACCAAAGGTCAACATTGCCGTCAAAGCCGCTTTCAATGAATTTGAGTGCGCGGATTTTGGCCTGGTGCGTGCTGCCTGGATCAATCTCTTTAACAGATTTACCCGTCCAGATATTGCTGATCCGGATCACTGTACCTTCCGTTGTGTCTTGAGCTGCTGCTAGAAGTCCGAGTCTTGGGTATACATCGATGTCCAGTTCTAGCTCGTCTCTGTTCAGGTGGGCAAAAGTCATGACTGGCTGCGACCAGTTCTTGAAAGCTTTGTGGTTGAGCTTGCGGCGTTTGTGACTGTCGCGATGAGTCGGATACAGGTTCTTGAAATATTCCTCGTTGTAGTGGTGGTTGTCGTAATTGAACATCTTTCGTGATGAGTTCCGAGATAAGCGAGGTGAGCGGATGTCGTAGAGGAAAAGCGTGTCGTTAAGCCCCGAGCATATCAATCTAGTCTCGTCGTCGGCACGCTTGAGCTTTGCGATGGGCGCTGGATGTGTCAAGACGTGACTTGAGCCCCCCGATCTTGTGTCGTATAGCCGGATAGTTCCATCTCGGCAGCCGAGCGCGACGGTAGTATATGATATCCACTCCAAGGCCAGAAGGTCTGATTCAAGTGACTTAACTACAGCTTGAGAGTCCCATGCACCTCCCTGTGAGCGAGTGAATAGAAGCATCGAACTCGAGGCTGCAACTGCGAGATGTTCGGTCCAGGTCGCTGCGACACTGTTTGCGAGACCTGGTGATGCCGTGAACGTCGTTGGTCTGGCAGCAGCACCCCAGATAGCTGAACAGTCTTTCGGTGTGAACTTCTGCCCCACGTACTGTGTCAATATTGGTCAGCGTGAGAGTATCGGAAGATGCAAAGGTCTTGTAAAGTGATCAAAACGAGGTGGGAGTGAGCAAAAAAGCTCGTTCGTTCTGAGTTGCACTACATGCCGCTGGGTACCTCAAATCGTTCGGTCTATCGAATGTTAAACGAAATATATCCGTTCATCATCGAGGAGATCATGTGCGCGGGATCACAAGTTTGAAGAAGACTTACAGGATCATCGCGTCCCGGGTCGCTGAGCCATACTTCTGGCGGTCGATCAGAGCCATACGTCGTCACCGCAAGCGCGCCGGTTGCCGGTAGAAAGGACAACGAGGAGACTGTAGATGTCGTTCGCGTTACCTCTTCTCGTGGATACCACGAATAGATACTTTTTAGTGAAGACGACTTGGGTATGGAATAGTAATCCTCTGATGGGACGCTGGGACTCCCGCGATCTGCAGTCTGCCTGTGCACACTGTTCTCACCTTGGACTGCGTATATCGTGTGATGTACTGGGTCTTTGGCAAAGAGTCGGAGTCCACATGGAGGTAGCACCTTTTCGGGACGTTCTTGAATGCCGGCTGCGCATGCGTCAGGCCAAAGACCGTGGACATAGCGTGACCGTCTTTTCAGGCCGATTTCCCTATCGATGTTTGTCTGGGCGAAGCTGTTCGTGTTGCGCCTGACGACCCGCTCCTTTTTAAGCTTATTGGAACGCGCGAGTGCGACATTCTGGATGCGCTCTTTGCGCTCTGTCTTCTTGATATTTGCTGAGGAATATTTGAGATTTGATCCTTGGGCTGCGGTTTGGGTTTGGATCCGGAAGTATTTCTTCTTCTCTGCGTCCCAGAAGTAGCCGGGTATTGGCTGGCCGTTCATCCTGCAATCGTGATGAGTGTAAAGTCCAGCGTTGATCTCAGATATTAAGGAGTGAAGGTATGCGTTGCGTGAGGAAGGATGTGCTGATTGGCGGAGATGTCGACGCGTCCGCGATTTAGTTCGGAAGAGAAACGCGCGAGTCAGGCACCGCGACGTTCTGATGTTTTCACGACTGCCTTATCGATAAGCCCGCTCGTCCGAGGCATGACGCCACTGCCCCATAACGTTCGCATCACTCCGATCAGCATCGAATGCGCCCATATGTGCCGCCATCTTCCCCTCATTGCCCCTCCCTCCTACACCACTTGTTACTCCCTTAGCAGCTCATGCTTCGAATCTCCACTGCGCTGCAGCCTACCAGGAAAGCGATATCGTCGACAGAATACATCTGCAAGAACCCCTTCCACACTTTTATGCGCCTCAATCAAGTCATGGCGCACCTCGACATCCCACAGACGGCGAGCAACTCGACCAATGAACTGCACACGCTGCAGTCGCTTCCCAAATCGAACGTCTTCACATCCAACCTTCCCGCCGATGACGCCTTCCCCAGACCGAAAGACTCGCACGATGCGCCACGGCAAATGCTCGGACCGCGCATGGTCAAGGGAGCACTATACACATATGTCCGACCCGACTCACAGGGCGAGCCGGAGCTGTTAGCCGTCAGTCAGCGAGCGATGCAGGACATTGGTCTTAAGGAAGAGGAGGCCAAGACTGATGAATTCAAGGAAGTTGTGGCTGGAAAGAAGATCTTGACGTGGGATGAGTCAAACCCAGAGGCTGGAATATACCCTTGGGCACAATGCTATGGAGGCTACCAGTTCGGACAATGGGCAGGCCAACTTGGTGATGGACGCGCCATCTCACTGTTCGAGTCTACCAACCCAGCGACTGGCACACGATACGAGATCCAACTGAAGGGCGCTGGACGGACACCCTACTCCCGCTTCGCTGATGGTCGCGCAGTACTGCGATCGTCTATCCGAGAGTTCGTCGTTTCGGAATACCTCAATGCCATTGGCATCCCCAGTACAAGAGCGCTGGCGCTCACCCTGAACAATGGAAGCAAGGTTATGCGCGAACGGACAGAGCCTGGAGCCATCGTCACACGATTTGCGCAAAGCTGGATCCGCTTCGGCACATTCGACCTCCAGCGCATCCGCGGAGACCGAAAGACCCTCCGCACAATCGCAGACTACACAGCCGAGCACGTCTACGGCGGCTGGGACAAGCTCCCCTCCAAGCTCCCCGCCGGTGAAGCCAAAGAAGTTTACACCCAGACCCACACGGGCATCCCCAAAGACACCATCGAAGGCGAGAACGAAGGCGAAGAGAACCGCTACGTCCGCCTCTACCGCGCCATCCTCCGCCGCAACGCCGAAACCGTCGCAAAATGGCAAGCCTACGGCTTCATGAACGGCGTGCTAAACACAGACAACACATCCATCCTCGGTCTATCCATCGACTTCGGCCCCTTCGCCTTCCTGGACACCTTCGACCCCACATACACCCCCAACCACGACGACCACATGCTGCGCTACAGCTACCGCAACCAACCCACAATCATCTGGTGGAACCTCGTCCGTCTCGGTGAAGCCCTCGGCGAGCTCATGGGCGCGGGCAGCAAAGTCGACGAAACCCAATTCGTCGAAAAAGGCGTAACAGAAGAAGAAGCAGACGGCATAGTCAAATGCGGCGAATCCGCCATCGACCGCGCAGGCGAAGAGTACAAAGCCGTTTTCCTCGCTGAGTACCGGCGTCTCATGACGCTTCGTCTGGGCCTCAAGACGCAGAAGGACAGTGATTTCGAGGACCTGATGTCGGAGTTGTTGGATACGCTGCAGATGTATGAGTTGGATTTCCACCATGCGTTTAGGCGGTTGGGGAATGTGAAATTGAGTGAAGTGGAGACGGAGGCTCAGAGGAAAGATGTTGCGGGCAGGTTCTTCCGTAGGAACGACGCGCCGAGGCAGGAGAGCGATGGGCGGGAAAGGATTGGGAAGTGGTTGGAGAAATGGTCGCAGAGGGTGAAGGAGGATTGGGGGGAGGGGATGGATGAGGAGAGGAAGGTTGCTATGGACAAGGTTAATCCTAACGTGAGTTTTCCCTTTTTTGGTTCTTCGGTCTATGATAGATGGGGTGCTAACGATACGACAGTTCATCCCCCGCTCCTGGATCCTAGACGAACTCATCGAGCGCGTCGAAAAGAAACACGAGCGCGAGATCCTACCTCAGATCATGAAACTCGCGCTTAACCCCTTCCAGGAAAGCTGGGAGTGGAACGCAGAAGAGGAAGAGAGGTTCTGTGGTGATGTGCCGAAGTATAAGGGTATGTTGCAGTGTAGCTGTAGTTCTTAGAAATCTCCTACAAACACCTAGCCGAGTGGTGGAGAGTATAAACTGGATATAAGGCCTAGTCTACACCACCAACAAGATATTCGCCTACTTCAAGATTCACGCTTCTGCCCAGCGCGCGTGCATATTCCCAGCCAAAGTTCACGCGCCATCGTCCTCCGCCTTCTAGAGCGTCGTTGCTTCCTGCTCCTCCGGCTCTGACGAGTAATCGCATGCTCGTCAATGTAGCTATCTGTGTGTATAAATCCGCTACTTGAGGTACCGTGCCTTCGAGCAGCGCTCTGAAGATCGCCAACAACCTGTCCAGAGTGAACGGGCTGGGCGTCAATAGATGTCGACTGATCTTCCGATGCTTGGCTCCTGTGCGCTTGCCCGTGACGCTGAAAGACGCAGCGCTCGGTGCGCGTCGCTTGTTCTTCCGCTTATCGGTATGCTTCATGAAGTATGTGACGTCGGTTCGCGATGGGTTGTAGGACGCGAGGTATGCGGCGAGGAGGATGTGGGTCGTGAAGTATGGAAGGGTGTGCGCCGTCATGTTCGCCGGCTTCTTCTTGCTTGGCGTTGCTGGTGGAATGCCTGCCGGTGTAGCCTCTTTAACAGGTTCGGCGGCATCCGAGATGATTCGATTCAGGACTGAGTCTTCAAGCTGGAACAAGTGCCGTCTATTCACCATCAAGCGCGAGAAGTCTCTTGTGCCGAATTGTCCTGATACCACGGGCTCGACGAACGGACGCCAGAGGCGCATTGCGCAGCTCTTGAAGCTGATCAGATCTCGTCCGGTGTGTTTCGCGAGGGAGTCGTAGACGGCTTGGATGAAGCGGCCCCACAGCCACTGGTCGTCTTCGGCTGCGAGATCGGGTGTGTAGTCTGGAAATTGTTCGAGGGAGGGCGGTTCGAGGAAAATTTTGGGTGGGTTGGCGCCGAGGATTGTGAGGAGTTCGCTACGGGCGTAGGATGGGAAGTGGAGGAAGGAGGCTGATGACGAGTGGAGGACGGAGGGCGTGAGGGGGAGGGTTGTTGTGAGGATGAGGGAGAGGTTTGGTATCTGTTCGCACTGTTAGCATCTGGCATCTGGATTTGCATATAGTATGACATACCATCTCTCCCAGTCTTCCTAGCGCAGCAATCAGAGTTCCACCCCCTTCTCTCAGTTTATCCACCGCATCGAGTACTAGCACAAACTTTCCCCTGCCTGCCAACAGCTTTTCCATGTTAACACATAGCGCGCTCAGGTTCTCTGTACGCGCATATGGTCTCCTATCAATCTTCTCGTCGTTGAACTCGTCCAGCGCATCTAGACTAGCCGCGACGATGCGCTCAAGGAGATGCCGCGCAGTTATGCATTCGCGAACGTTGATGATCGTGTGTTGTATACGAGAAAGATGGAAGAAGGAGCGCAATATCGAGGATTTGCCCGTCCCGGTAAGGCCATGGATGTTCAGAAAGGGTGGAGATGGGAGATGCGCCTAGGTTGCTGTTAGTACAATGGCCCGGAAGTCTGATGGGTGTACGGACGCTATAGAGGGCTGCAAGGTGGTGTATCTGCTGATCACGGCATTGGAATTCCGCGGCGAGCTGGGCGATGATCTCGTCGGGTAACATTGTCGCGATGTTGTTTTGGATGTTTGTAACCGCTGGCGGATTGAGGGTTGAGGAAGTCGCGCTAGCTTGGCGCCGAACGCGAGTGCACGTGCATCGTCCGCGACTTCCAACTCCTTGCTTCCACTCACATCCTCCGTCGTCACATCGCATACAAGGTCATGTACTCGACGCTCGCTTCAGCAAAGAAGGTCCGATCCATCTGCACGTAGATTGATCAACGAATGACAGCGCCGCCTCTACGTCACCCCGCGTATCGCCATGGGGGACGGCAAGTCCGCTGCCTGCAGCAGCAATGTGGCACAGCCTCGCCTCACATGCTCACTTGATCTGAGATGCGATGAACCCCGCACCTCGTCTTCCTCCTCGCACTGATCGCAGTACACTGAACATCATTCAAAGCTCACATGGAGACAGCTGCAAGCATCATAGCAGTGGTCCAGCTGTGCGAGACGGTGATCAAGTATATCGTTGCTGTCTCTGGAGCCAAACACGAGAAACAGCGCCTTCGTACACAGATACGAGACTGCAGTAGCTTGCTAAACAAGTTGCAAGATGAAACGGATGACCCTGAGAATGCCGAGGAATGGGACAGAATCTTGAAGCTACTTTCGACTCCGCTTGCGCACCTTCAAGATGCACTCCGTCTAGCAGCCGCTGCGTTATCCCCACGAGATGGGTTGCGTGAGAATTTGCGGTGGCCATTCAAAGAGAAGGATGTCGAAAAAATGATTGAGGCAATAGAGTCTGGGATGTCGATGGTGACTCTCGCTCTCAATTACACCACAACATCGTTACTTGTCAAAATCAGCGCTTGCTCAAAGCGCAACGAAAAGCATCTCATCGACCTGAAAAGTACTTTGAGTTCACGCATCCAAGAAACCCACTTGACGTTGCGGAGCATCAACGGTGAGCTGGAATCGATCCAAACTACCCAAAATGACGTTCGAGGAAGAGTTGAGGAGCTGCATGGGCGTCAAGATATGGAGGAAGCTTTGAGGAAACGTCAGCGCATCCTTGACTGGCTCACACCCATCGATCAC